ATGGCTTTTGGATTTGAGGGACAGAGGACAGCACCCTTGCCAAAGACAGTAGCTAGAATGGGAGCCAGTGAGGGTTTTACTGGGGAAGATGCCATCAAAGGTAAATGAGCAATTCTAAAACTGGAGATGAATTAGCAAGTGCAAGATTAGATAGAATGGGCATTTATAGCTTGAGATGTGGTGAGAGACAGACAGGGATCAGCAACTATTATATGGAGAGAAAAATCAGGATAATTACTGAAGGAAGGAGAGAGCAAAAATTGGAAGTGGAGCAAGAAATAAAAATAATAGTGAAGTCAATGGTAAAGGCAATGACTGAAAATAAGCAGAGGTTAAAACCTAGGCAACATTAGAAAAGGGTGGGATCTGGGTAATAATAGATAGAGTGATTTGAGTAAATGTGAGCTCATCAAAGCCTCTGCAAACGGTGCTGTAACTTGTACCAAGTCCCATGTACTAAAATCAGTCCTCTGCTCAATGAGCAGTACCTCGCTTTGTAAGATTCTCATTCTTGTTTTAAATCCCCCATGGCCTCAAGTCTCCCTAGCTGTTGCTATTTTGTTCAGTTTGTCATGCAAGACCTTGTTAAAAGCTTTACTGAAGTCCACATAGACTACATTAATTGCAGTAGACTCATCTACATACTTAGTCACCTCCTTGAAAAAAGTCAACTTTGTTAGCCTTACTGACTACTGTTGATTAATCCTTGCCCATCCAAGTGGCAATTAATTCTGTCCCTCAGATCTTTTTCCCTATTGCTTCCCTCCCACAGGTGTTAGGTCCACTGGCCTGCAGTCTCCTGATTTATTCTTAACCACCCTCTTGAATAACCTTACCAACACTGAAAGGGAGAGTGACATCAGGGATTGGAAAATCAGGTGGGGAGTAGAGAAAGTTAGATTTGGAAAATGACTAACGGTGGGGATTGGGAAAGATGTGCAAAGTGACTGAAAGGAGAATGAGATCTGGGTTAACAAGGTGTAGAACTGGATGAACACAGCAGTCTAAACAGCATCAGAAGAGCAGGAAAGCTGATGTTTCGGGTCTAGACCCTTCTTCAGAAGTTACTGTGTTCATCCAGCTCTACACCTTGTTATCTCAGATTCTCCAGCATCGGCAGTTCCTGCTATCTCTGAGATCTGGGTATTCACTTTAAGGGGAGTAAGGGGGTTGATTAATTCATTTGGCTGGATGATAGGTTTGCAATGCAGAGTGACACAAAACGTGCAGGTTCAATTCCTGAGATTACCTTCAGAGTCTTGCCTCTCACCTGAGGCATGGTGACCCTCCAGTGTCTGTCTGTCTGTCTCTCTCTCTCTCATGAGACAGCAGCCCTAAGGCCCTCTGGGAATATAGCAACTTTACCCAGAGGGGGCTGAGAGAGTGATTATGGAGAATTACTGACAGAGAGCTAGAGATATGGTTTAGGGAAAAAAAGTGAGAGATTGGGCTCCTTAACTAAAAAGGAGAAAGTGAAAGAAATTTTCCAGCTCACCCTCTATGGTAAAGGTCAGCCACCAGAAAACGAAAGTGAGTCAGAATTCCTGGAAATAAGTAACCGGAAACAAAACAGACTCATGCTCAAGACATCCAACTATTTCATTTCTTGTCTTGCTGTAGTTTCCTGTGGCTCCACATCCAGGTCTGTACAGGAAAAAGTGCACTGAAGAAAGGGTGACCATAAGCATTGGGGTGTCTTGAATTCAGCTTGTGCTATGTTTTCTCCAGCCCTTTCTAAAACAGTTTTTAATGATCAGAAACCCTTTAGGAATATGTGCAAAGTGGAAGGAGAGATGAATTTAATCTGTAAAAGGATATGCAATCTGAAATACTTCTTTGGTGTAAATGACATACTAATCATCTTTGTCCCACTATTTCAATCATCCAATATTTGTTTGTTGAGTCCTCCTAACCCAGTTCAATCCCACAAATGAATATTTGTTTGTGGGATGTTTGGACACTGCAGTTAAGTAGGGAGGCTGGTGTTAACAGTGTATTTAAATAGGTTGGTTTGTAAATTAGGTAAAATGCAATGGTGTATTAATATGTAACTTGGATTGTACTCTGTTCAGGGTACTTTAAATAGAGTGGAGTTTAACAGAAATAGGTTCTGTTCATACAAGTAACTTACAGCTACAAAAGAGGATTTGAGGTTTGGAACTTATTTGTACTTGGCTAACTAGAAAAAAGTATGTAAAATAATCAAAACACTGGTTAAAAAATAAATATTTAAATTGGAGAGCTGTGTAGCGTTTGACAAATCTACTAAATTAAACAATAATCTCTGTAAAATGTGGTGAATACAAGCCATAAAAATAGCAATTGCTGGAGAAACTCGGCAGATCTGGCAGCATCTATGGAGAGAAAATCAGAATCAATGTTTTGAGTCCAGTGACCCTTCTTCAGAACTGATAGTAGCTAGGAAAAAATGGTATATATGCTGAAAAAGGGGGTGAAGGAGCAAGCAAACAGGCATAGATGGAGCCCAGAGAGAGAGAGAGAGAACAACAGGAAGACAAAGGGATGCTTGACTGTATACCAGGGAGAAAGAAAGCTCTCTCTCTAGGCTCCATCTTGCCTATCTGCTCACTCCTTCCCCCATCCCCTGTCTTCAACATATGTACCACCTTTTACCAACTAAAGGAACATAAGATATAGGAGCAGAATTAGGCAATTGGCCCTTTGAGTCTGCTCATTGATCATAGTGGATATGTTTCTCAACCCCATTCTCCCACCTTCTCCCTGTAACTGTTGATTCCCTTACCAATCAAGAACCTATCTCTGTCTTAGAGACATGCAATTACTTAGCCTCCACAGCCTTCTGTGGCAATGAGTTCCACAGATTCACCACCTTCTGGCTGAAGAAATTCCTCCTCGTCTCAGTTCTAAATGGTTGGCACTTCACTCTGAGGCTATGCCCTTGGGTTCTAGTCTCTCCTAATAGTGGAAATACGTCCTCTGCATCCATTCTATCCAGGGTTTTCAGTAATCTGTAAGCTACTATCAGTTCTGAAGAAGGGTCACTGGACTCAAAACATGAACTCCACTTTTTTCACAGATTCTGCCAAACCTGCTGAGTTTCTCTAGCAATTTCTGCTTTTGTTTCAGATCTTCAGTATTCACAGTTCTTTGTTTTATTTTAGTGAACATAAGCCATATGGGTTTAGTTTTTGGTTAACATTTAAGTAAGTAGAAAACTGAAGCATTGATAATTGAATAATTCTTACTGTGATGATACTATGGCTTTGAGAGGTGTATTTTGTCTTGGTTTGTATTTATGAAGCAAATTTGGGACAGAGGTACCATGCAATCTACTCCAAGCCAATACAGTAAACAGCTTGAGAGGTCTTGGGTTTTTTTTTAAATGTTAGAACAATAGAAGCAGCCTGAATGGGTGGGGTCAAGCTCCCACAGAACCAGGATTTTTAGTTTTAGCTTTCAGCAGTTGCTGGGGTCTTGAAGTTGGATGAGGAAGCTGTTTTTCCTCTCTTTGTTACAGTTAAAAGCTGGGTGTTTTCTTCTTGCTGCTAGAATTGCATGTGAGACTATCTATTTTACTGAATTTGCCTTTGCCAAGTGTGTGTTTTGGGGGTGTTACTATATTGGAACAGTTATTGTTTAAATAGTAAATAATCTATTATTCTGTTAAGTTTTCCAATCGAGTTGTTATTTCCAATGCTTTATTTTATTTTAACTACAGTGTATGAATAAAGTGTGTTTTGCTTCAAGACTGGTAGTTTGACCAATCAAATTGCATCTGGAATGCAATGCCTGGTACTTGCCTTTAAAATAAGAAAAAGTTAGGGTATAGACTTTTTTCTCAATATATTTTGAAGGGGATTGGTCTAGTCTGGTCTGGTCCATAACAACACATAAATCCAAGACTGTGTATCCATTCTATGATTTTACTCTGAAGGAAGCCATTTAGCCTGTCATTCCTGTGCTGGCTCTTTTTGCAAGAGCAACTTGTCCAGAAGCACTCCCCTGCTTGCTCCCTGTGACCCTGCAACTGTTTACTTTTCTGATAACCATTCCAACTCCCCTTTGAATGTGAAACGAAACAAAGGAACTGGAGATGCTGGAAAACAGAAACAAATACAGAAACTGTTGAAGAAAGTTAACGTTTTGGATCCAATGACCCTTCATCTGAATTGATAGTAGCTGGGAAAGGGTGGTTGAAGGGCCACTGGACCTGAAAAATTGTGGAGAGAGAAATAGATATGTTTCGGGTCCAGTGACCCTTTGTCACCTTTTTCCCAGTTACTATCAATTTGGATGAAGGGTCATCGGATCCAAAACGTTAACTCTGCTTTCTCTCTATGAATGCCACCAGACCTGCTGAGTTTCTTCAGCGATTATTGCTTTTGTTCCCTTTTGAAGATGCTGGTTGAATCTGCCTCCATCGTACCGTAAGGAAGTGTTTTCCTGATCTTTGTTGTGTGAAAGATTTTCTCTGGTTCTCATTGGCAAAACAAGCAATCACCTTAAATCTACATCATTTCGTTCTCAATTCTACTGCTAATGGGAACAGTTTCTCCCCATCTTACTCTGTCCGGCCTGCTCCAGTCGATCAGATCTCTATCAAATAACAGCCTTTTCAAATATTTTCTGAAAGTCCTTGCTATACTTATCTCATAAATAATCAAAATACCAGGTGCTCAATTTTAGGTTTAAAATTGAACTTTGTTCTACAAACAACGAAACAGAATGCCCTCACTATTGTTTTCGTACATTAGACATTAAAATGGTCTTCTTTAAACAGTGGTGACTTTATATTTTGGGTCTTCAGTAGCACTCAAACCTCATGAGGAATTTTTTTTTTTTAAATGTGTGGTTTTACTTCAAGGCAGTTGAGACAGTTTACCTTTGGATTTAGAAGCTGCTAGAAACTGGTTGAAGTTGCTATTTACTTATGTCGAAGGGAAGCGCCTGGGGAGATTCCCGTTTATGGACCGTCCCCGAACAGTGTCTTGTCGAATGAGACAGCTCTGTGACTCCGGCTGGGCCTGAGACCGGCCACTGGCTTCAGGAGGGACCGGACCAGCTGCGCCTGAGAGCGGTCGCTGCCGCTCACTTGGTGCCTCATTTTAACCCGAGCTGCGCCAATATCGGACACCTCAACCGGTGACTGAAAGCAGCTTGAAGTCTTTTCTCTCTCTTTTCTGTTACTCGCGTGCTCCTTTCTTTGCTTATTTTCTTTCTCTTTCTGTCTCCCTTTCAATTTTTCTTTCTCTCTCTCCCTTTCATTTTCTCTCTCTTCCTTTCACTCTCTCCCTCCCCTTCACCTTTTTTCTCCCTCCCTTTCACTTTTTTCTTTCTTCCTTTCACTCTCTCCCTCCCCTTCACCTTTTTTCTCCCTCCCTTTCACTTTTTTTCTCTGTCCCTCTCTTTCAATTTTTCTTTTCTTCCTCCCTTTCACTTTTCTCTCTCTCTCCCTTTCACTTTTTCTCTCTCTCCCTTTCACTTTTTCTTTTCTTCCTCCCTTTCACTTTTTTTTCTCTCTCTCCCTTTCACTTTTTCTTTTCTTCCTTTCACTTTTTTTCTTTGTCTCTCTTCCCCTTTCACTTATTTTTTCTCTTTCCCTCCCCCTTTCACTTCTCTCTCCCTCTCTTCCCCACCCCCCTTTCACTTCTTTCTCTCCCTCTATATTTCTCCCTCCCTGCCACTTTTTCTTTATCTCTCTCTCTCTTCCCCCACACCCCTGTCACTTTTTCTCTCCCTGCCTTGTTCAGTGGATAGGAGAAACAGCCCTTTTTCTCCACCCCACCTCCCCCATGCTTTCTCTCTCTCTCTGTCAATGACCCTTGAGTTATTTGTGATAGAGACAAGACATTGGCATTTAAAAATTAATCAGTGACAAGTGAAGAAATCGGTTGCAATCTGGAAAGCAGGGGAAACTAATAAAGTTGACCTCGTTTTCAAATTTAAAGGAGAAGTTGATATTTTGGAAGGGCTGGGGTGTGATTGTTTGATACTTGTAACATCTGACACTGGTATCTTTCTTGTCTGACAGCATCAGCATCAAGAAGATACAGTTATTTACAGTACAATGTGGGGGAGAATCAGAACTAAGCAGCCAAGATAATGGTAAGTAGTTTATTGGTGACCAGCATCTTTTATTTTTTGATTTTAAATATCTATATATGTCGTAGATTATTACATTAAAATTTTTTGGTGTGAGTCAATTTATCCTTTTAAACTTGGAGAGGTTATGTATTGATACTACAGGGAGGAAAGAACAGGCTAAAGTTCACTGCTCCTGACGTTTTTGGTTCTTTCAGTGCCTGCATATTTCTGTGGGTGTTGTTGGACAATGCAGAATTTTAATTTTGTTTAATGCTGAGTCAAAACCTTCCATTCAATGATGTCCCCACTGACAAGCTTTAGCAGAGCTGATGGTGCAAATCTACAATGCCTACATTGTGCAGTTTAATGTCTGATGTCTGCTTTAATTCAAATAATCTAAATTTAATTCCTTCTGTATCAGATGGCCCCTTTGCTTTGCTATTTTACACTGCATTCAGGTTGTTGGATAAGATGATTTAAGTGGAAAAAGTGTTTTTAAATTCGTATTTGTTGATTCTATGTTTTTTGAATAGCTGTTTGGTTTTACAGAACGATTTTGTTAAAGCTTTTGTTTTGCACACAAGATGAGAAACGGGGACAAAAATGTGTCTTTTTGTCTATTTTTCCCTTTGGATCTGAGGGGGAGAGGTTAAGCAAAATAATACTTATGCTTGCTCTCCCTTTCTTACGCACTCCCTCTCCTCCCTTCTGTGCTGTGACGTACAGGATAAGTTACAGGATTTGAACATTAGTAGGAATGGAAGACGCTCTAGAGAAATGCAAAGTGCTTTATATAGAGCTAAACATGATCCAGCAGGGGGCTATTACTTAAGTGTAAAGGAAATGATGTGCATGAAAAATCTCAGGGTCCTTATTATACAATAGATTGAAATTATTCCAACAATGGCTGGTGCCAGTGAGCAAACTAAGTCAAATGTTGAGATGTGTTAAAAGGTCAATAGTAATGAGGTAGTTGTGCCATTTTATAAATCATTATTACAATGGCACTTGGAATACTGTGTACAGTCCTGGCTACCATGGTACAAAAAAGATATTGCAGCTATTGAAATGATTCCGAAGTAAGCACCCAACATGATTTGAAGGGGTGGTAAGGGTTGAATACAAGCAGTGATTATAGAAGTTGGGCTTGTTTTTATTTAGAAAAGAGAAGGTTGTGAGCTGAGCCATTTGATGTTTTTGAGATTCCAAAATGGCAAGACAATGGTGAGCATGTCTTAAAATAGCTGGCCAGAGATTGAGAGGGAAAATGAGAAGGTATATCTGTTCAGGATCAGGAATGCCCTACATGCAAGACTGATGGGATCAGAGCTTCCAAATGGTCATTGGGTATATACTTTTGGAGAGGAATAATTTGCAAGATTCTGTGGTGGGGCTGAAGCTGGAGACTGAAGTGTGAATAAGTTGCGCAGCTTTTTCAAAGAGCTGGCATGAGCAGGGCTGGACAAATGGCCACATGCCAAGGGATTCTAGGATTCAAAGCTATTTTAAATGGAGCAGCAGTAGGAGAGGTCATCGCCAACATTTGAAGAGTTTATGAATTCGGAATGAATTTGTAGAAATAGCATTTCAGTGGTCAGTCTATAGAACAGATTCCCTGAGGAGGCAGAGGAAGTAGAAATTATTGATTCATTCAGTAGCAAATTAGATTTTCATTGAAAGTAATATTTTGGGACACACTAGGACAGGAACTTGCGGACGTGATGCATAGTGAGTGCAACAATGATTGGGACGAATGGGTGACTTGGGTCCAATGGTCGCAAAACTGTAGACTGTTGGAGACTGACCTCACCTCATTGTCTAGGCCTGTTGTCGACTGATAGAAGTTACAAGCATCGCCATTATTTATCTATTAGTTGCCTGGTAGCAGGTGAACTAGATGAATGTTGATGTTTCTTTCATCTAAAAGTTTATCATCTTTTATAATGCTTTTCATTTAAAAATGCCAGATATTTTAACAATGCCAGCAATATCTGGCACACAACTACTAATGCTAAACAGTTGCATGGTCAAAAATTGTGCCAACAAAAGGATTTGACATATGTATTCATATGATTTCTTCACCTGGACTTAGGAGAAAGCTGATTTGATGAGGAAATGTAGTAGACAGGAGGATTAATTTTGGATTATGCCTGCAAAGAATTGGCATTGATATGGCCTCCTCCTCTATAAGTGCCCTAGGATGGTGTGGCTTGATATATATTTTTGTTAGTGAATAGATTGTGTCAAACCAGCCACAGCCTTATCTAGTATTGATTCTGTCTGCCTTCAGAGAGTTGGAAAGGGTACATGTTCACAGAGAACCCATCCAGATGAACCCAGAGCACAAAGAAATGGTTAAAGACCAGATCAAAGCAGATGCCCAAATCACTTAAAAGAGTGGCTGATACTATTAAATGTAGGAAAATATCTAATGGCAACAGAACTACATAACACTTGGATAGGAGGTAACTTTGTGTAAATACTTCAGGTCTCTAACATCCCTAGTGAACCCTTTTGGTCCTTGATGCTTTTTAATTACTGATTCACTGAAAATTTGAAACAATGAATTGTTAATTACGCCAACAGGGATTTCACACCCTCCTTGGTTTGATGCAAATACGGGTTGATGATGGTGGTGGATTTGGGAAAGTTAGTTTACAGCCCCCTTACAGGTTCAGGTGAGGCCACTTGCCTGCACTCCCTGTGGTTGGTCACTGAGTTAGCCTGGAGAGAGTAGAGGAGACTGTGGAAGTGGACAAAAAAAAGTGTGGGAGCTAAGGGCAAAAGGTTACTGAACCTGAAGAATGTGGGTGTGAGACATTTGTTGCACAGAAGTCCTCACATACTGAGCTCTGCACCTGGGTACCGGGCAAGCATGTTGGTGCTTCGAAAAACAGCAAAAATGTGTTTCAATCCCATCACTCAAAGCATTGCATTAATATGGTGGCCTTTTGTGTGGGCACTTGCTGCATTTCAGCTTCTTGCTGATTTCTTTGTTCATGCAAGTGGTCAGGTGTTAAGTAATTTAGATTTTACATGCAAGTTATAGCATAGTATCATAATTATCAATAATACTGAACAGAAGGGACTCATTGACTCTGACTCTGAACCGGCTATTTGTTTTTTTAAAGACAAACCCAGATCGTTCAAAACTGGACCACTTGATCCATTTGGTGTTTGCTACTCTTGCCTGCAAGAGCTTAATGGGAATTCATTTGTATTCTGCTCTGATCTCGCTCTGCCTCACTCGCTTTCTCTGTTGCCATGTTGCACAGTGATTATAAGGTGAGGAAGTGGAAGCTGTATACTATGCATAGGTTTGTGTGACTGCATAAGTTGGTTTTGTTTTGGAGGAAACTGATGCTCACTACTTGTTTATGACTGGTTTCTGTCACATGGTTTTATCAAGATGTAGGGTTTGTTTTGATCTGCGAACAGGATATAAATTGTGCTTGTAAATCATGACCTATGCTTACTCAGCCTGTGCATTTTTGCTCTCCTTTTTGGGGCAAAGTTTGTCATTCCCACACCCTCTGCAGCATTCTGAAGGTGTTGAATCTTCATTGAATCACGGTTACAGCTTTTGCTTACGGAGAGGGTGAGTGTCCATGGGCTCTTTGACCATCTTATGAGACGTGATGTCCAAGTCTGGGCCTGCTCGGGCCAACCACCTGCAAATGTGCACATATTGGCTGGTCTCACTGGTAGCCTGGTTGTTCCCTCTTGCCATTCATTCTGCCCCCTACTCTTGGGAGGTCTTGTAGCCAAGATTGTAACCATTATGGTGTCTGTTGTAGGAGAAGCTCAGCAGCTACTGGGCATTATGGCTTGACTTTTTCTTTACTGAGCTGATGTAATGCATTCACTCCGTGAGACAAACCGAGTCCTGAATACATTTTGAAATCTTGGTGTTATTTTAATAAGGTCAGATTTTGTTTGTTAGTGTTCCTGTGAAGTGCTTTGGGATTTTTATACTACATTAAATGTATTATATAAATGCATGTCGTTGCAGTGGTTTCTAATGAAATCATTAAGGTTGTTGTTTTCCATAAATCCATTTAGTCTTAAAGCTCTTGAAAGTTAATTCAAGGGAGGACTGCAACCAGTAATTAATGGTAGATCACTTTGTTGATCTTCAATTTGAGATTGAGAGGCTTGCTTTTGTTCACCAAAGGCAGTAAGGCATTTGGAGTCAGGCAGTCAAACGTTAAGGGAAAGTATGCAGACAGGGTTGATAGACGGAATCTTTTTCCCAGAATTGAAATGTCTAATACCATAGGGCATGCATTTAAGGTGAGGGGGGAAAAGTTCAAAGGAGATATGAGGGGCTAGTTTTTTGCACAGAGAGTAGTAGGAGTCTGGAACGTGCTGGCAGGGTAGTGGTGGAGGCAGATATGATAGGGGTATTTAAGGGGCTTTTTGACAGGCACATGAATAAGCAAAAAAAGGGAGGGATTATGGACAATGGGCAGGCAGATGACATTAGTTTAACTTGGCATCATGTTCAGCACAACATCGTGGGTTGAAGGGCCTGTTGCTTGTGCTAGACTCTTTAATGCCCTATCAGAGGCTGATTGGCTGCCTCCAATTCATATATAAGTCTGTTTCCATTTCTGTGCAGATTTGGCTGGCCTTGCTATATTTGAACTGCTAGGTCTCTTCATCTTGCAGTTCATCCACATTTCCGGATGAATGACAAAATATTCAAGCTAGGAGTACATTCAAGTGTCAGAGCTGCTTTTAAAAGGCTTCGAGATCTGGGGGAGAAACAGGAAAATGCTGGAAACGCACAGCAGCTCCACCGCCATCTGAAAGACTAAAAGACAGGTTAATGTTTTGGATACAGAGGCTTTGGCAGAGGGTGTCTGTCAACTAATTACTCTTCTAACCTTGGAAGCTGGATGGGCTGATGAACATTCCCAACGTTTTTTAATTTTGATGGATAGGCAATCTGTAACTGTGTATCTTCAAACCTGTCAACTCCCCACTCTGTGTGTGTGTCCGTGTGTCCGTGTGCATAAAAGTAAGGATGCGACCAGACTTCAACAGTTAAACGTGTGGTTAAGGAACTAATTGACTGGTAGCATTGAAGGCGGTGGATTATGCCACTGCACTTGAGCACCATTTGTGAATAAACTGTAGCCAACACTTTACCCTATTTGTAGACTTCTTTCTACTGGCCCAGCCAGCTTGCCAGACAGTGGGAGGAGCAGTGAGCTGCCAGTCATTCAGAAAATGCTCACAGCAGTTTGCCACTTGGGATGTGAAACTGCTTAGCCATAAACACGTGCAATCTTTGCACTTCTAGGTTAGCAGACAAAACATTCAGGAGGACACATACAGATTTTTGTCTCTCCAACTGTGTGTTGTGTATGGAGGGATTTCTTTAAACTGTGTAACGCCCATGGTGTTTATAACGAAGTGGAATGAGTTAAGAATTTCACACGCATCAATTGGCACAGCATCAAAATGCATTGGTTGTTCCATGTAATGGGGCGATGGCAGGAAATCGGAGTTGAGCAGTATCACATCAGCCATGATCTCAGCAAATGGTGGAGCAGACTCACTGGGCTGAATGGCCTACTTCCGCTCCACTGTTGCATGGCCTTATGTTACATTGTACCGATAGGGCAAATAGGCTCAAATAGTGATGGTAATCAATCTGGTGCACTATTGATGATTCCCCTTCTATTGTGTAGAATGAGAAGGGATGATTGGTTGTCCTATAAAAAGGACACAAGCCTTGACCATCTCAGAGATTATTTGCCAACTGAGGCCCTCTAAATGCTTTGCATGCAAATATGATTATTTTGGGCCCTGCTCTATTGTAGTTAATGGCTTGAAGATGAGAAATAGCCGATAAAATTTCTGAATTGGCATATGCTGTGGGTAGAGAGGTGAACCTGCAATCATTGTTTTGATCCAAACTTGAACACAAAACACAAAAGTCTGTGGAGGCCAGGTCACTCAATATATTTAAGAATAAAATAGATTTCTCGAGGTTTCTGAAACTGTCAAGAAACACAAGGAGAGAGGGGCAGTATGGTGTTGAGATAGAGGATTAGCTATGATCATGGTGAAGTAGGCTTGATGGGCCAAATGGCCTACCCAGGCTCCTATTTTCTCTGTTTGTATTTCCAGATGTTAAACCCATTGTGGGCATTTTAATTGCATGGACTTGTGCCTGCTGCTAGATCATAAGTCTGCAATCTGAGATTCATATTCTTTTAGAAACCATTAAGTCGGCCTTTGTTCAAAGTCTGTTCCACATACCGACTACACTGCGGCAGAGAAAATATCTTCAGCTTGCTCAAGGCTTGCCAGTTTCATAACTCAGTTCAATAATGTGTTTACATCTCTCAGCATTTTGGCCACCATTCCTGCCTCTACTGTAGGAACAAAATAACAAGTAACCAGTGAAGCAGCTAGTCAGGGTTTGTTCAGGTGCAATGAATTACTTGAAGATTTGTTACTGTTATATACTGACACAATATCAAGGTCCTATTACATTGTGGGAGGATTATCATGCAGGGCATTGAGAGAACTGCTTCTTCCATCTGAATAGCACCAAGGGATGTTTTAATGTCTGCTTAAATCACGAGAATACTCTTGGTTTAACATCCCATCTCATCTAAAGACAATCACTCTTAATGTTTCAGTAATCCCTCTGGCCTGAACAGAGAAGTCACCTTAGAACCTAAGGTAGCCTTAGGTCACTTCATCGAGATATACAGCACAGGGAAAAAAAGGCCTTTCAGCCCACCAGGGGTCATGCTGGTCAAAAATAACCACCTAACTGTTCAAATCCCATTTCCCAGCGCTTGGCCCATAGCTATGAACGCCTTGGTAACAAAGTGCACATCTAAATACTTCTTAGATATGATGAGGGTTTCTGTCTCTACCATCCTTACAGGCAGTAAGTTCTAGATTCCCGCCAACCCTCTAGGTGAAAACAATTTTACCTCCTGCTCTTATGTTAAATCTATGTCCCTTGGTCATTGATCCAGCCAAGGTGTTTTTCCCATAGAAGGGGAGTCCAAAACTAGAGGGCGTAGGTTAAAGGTGAGAGGAGAAAGATTTAAAAGGGACCTGAAAGGCAATTTTCTGACGCAAAGGGAGGTGCGTGTATGGAATGAGCTGCCAGAAGAAGTGGTGGAGGTTGGTACAATTGCAACATTTGATTTGAATTGAATTAGCCTTTATCATCCCACGCACTCGAATGAGTGCAGTGAAAAGTTTGCAATGTCACCATTCATGGTGCCATCTTAGTTATAGGATATCTCGGTGCAGACACTTAAGTATTTGGTGCAAAATTGAAAGAATAATAAATAAAAGTCCAGCATACGAATAAAAAGGGGAAAAAGAAGTACTTGACTTAGTGTCCTTTCCACCAAAGTCCGTGTTAACACCTAGTCTCCTGCCTGCAAGGGCCACGTCTCCCCACGGCATCCTCCATTCCCAGACTTGCATCCCATGCTGGCCTCTGGTCTGGGACCCGCCTCCGGGTCTTGCCTCCCGCGTTTATCCTGGTGTGGGCCTTGCCTACTGCACCAACCTCTGATCTGTGACCTGCCTCCGGGACTCTTCTCCCAGGCTGTCCTGGTGTGCGACTCACTTCCTGCGCCAACATCCAGCCTGGCACCTACATCCCACGCTGGCCTGGTCTGGGACATTTAAAAGGCATCCGGATGGGCACGTAAATAGAAAGAGTTTAGAGAGATATGGGCCAAATGCTGGCAAATGGGACTAGATTAATTTGGAATATCTGGTGGGCATGGACGAGTTGTTTTCTGCTGTACATCTCTGACACTATGGCTGTAAGGGGAAAATGTTTCTTCCTGTCAACCTTATCTATGTTCCTCGTAATTTTACACATCTCAATCTTCTCTGGTCTAAAACTTGAATCTGTCCAATCTCTCCTCATCATTGAAATTCTCCAGCCAAGACAACATCCTGGTAAATCTCCTCTCCAACCTCTCCAGTATTATCATATCCCTATCATGAATCCCTACATTGTGTCAGAATGGCTCAGTGGGTAGTGCATGCTACTTTAAGTTCTGTTCCAGTCCTGAAGAGGGTTCAACCCAAGAAGTTGACTCATCGTGTTCTCAACGTCATTGGTTTTTCAGTATTTCCTTGAGCTGGACTTTGAACCCTAACCCCTTAGGCCAGAATCCTTTTAGTGGAAACTTGTCACCTGTCATTTTAAGTGCTGGAATTATCCTTACGAAAATTCCATCGT